GGCCACCAATTGCGCATTTCAATGCATGATGGCCGAGAGGCGAAGTTGCACAATTCGATATGAAATGAATGCACACATAAACACACAAGGCCTAGAACTCTATCATGTATGATCAAGAGCGTCGGCAACCGAGAATTGAGGCACGTTTCATCACTGTAAGTACGAAACGTCCCTCGTTCCTCGTGTTTGGACTAACACCTATTCCAAACGCAATGCAACACACAGCATGGCATGCACAATGCTATGTAACATGGAGTATGCAAAAATGCAATGCAACACAAGCATGCAAAAATGCAATATGACTTAAGCATGCAAACATGCAATGCAATATAAATAACCTAACAAGGCTAATGGCATGCACAATGCTAATGCATGCAACAACTAGCATACACAATGCAATGAACAACATAAGATTCTAAACACAATGTAATGCATGCATGCGCAATGCAATGCAACAAGGGCAACTTATCAATGTTAGGGACATGCATACTCAATGTAAAACAAGATAAGCACGCAAACAACATGCAAGTAAACATGCTAAATGGACCTAAACCAAGAGGGGTAGGCCTCAGTCATGCCCAAATCAGTGACCAACATGATGAAACTAAGGCATGAAGATCAAGACAAGCATGCACATGCATTGGCCTATTAACTAGGCCCAAGAGCACAACTCTCAAGAGTGCTCAAGAAGTGATAGACATGAAAGTGTAATAACACTATATGCTCTGAAATAAGGTATGAAATGATGCCAAATCACTCAATCAACACAAGCATGGCATGCTAGGGTTCTTAAGCATTAAAGCTAGTAAAGAAGACTACAAAGGAGGCATGCAATACATGAAAAATATGCATGAACCAACCATGGACAGAGTTTAATTACATCTAAACAGAGACCAAAACATGCTGAGACAAAGGCTCAAAGACCTAGGCATGCAAGCATACAATCTAAGCCATAAACAAGGCAACAATGCTCAACACTCAAAGGCACTTAAAGAGTGAATGAAGTGGGAACATGGCAATGCTACATGCTCTGAAATTTCATGTTAAGTGATGTCAAATCATGTACACAATACAAATGAAGCATGCTATGGTGCTCAAAGCTTGAAGCTAGCAAGAGCACTTGCACTACAACTATGCAAAACATGAAGCATGTGACCAAGGCAACCCAAAATAGTCCTAGAACATCTTAAAATGAGTCTAAAACATGTATGGAAGGAAGCCAAAACAAGCTAGCATGAAGGGCATAAGGCATGGAATATGCAAGGCAAATAAGGTGGATTACACTACACCTATCAAGACCAAGCATGAGATGGCTTCGCCAACAAAAATCAGAGTTATATCATGGCAAAATAACCCCAAATAAACACTGAAATGATAGCTCACAAGCTTAAGTATGAAGGCATACGCAATGCCTCATGTTAAGGCATAAAGGGGCAAACCCTCCAACGCATTGAATAAGTGACAAATGCAAGTGCCTGATCATGAAACATAGACTGAAATCACATTATAAATTATGCCAAATCATTCAAATAGCCCAAGTAATGCATGCTAGTGGACTTGATACACAAAGCTAACAAGCTAGAATGTACTATAGCTATACAAAGCAAGGTATGCATGACTAAAACAACCAAAATTAGAGCTAAAGCTTGTTAAAACATGGGCAAAAGCTTCTTAAAGTTAAGCCAAAAGCATGCTAGAATGACATGTTAAAGCATGAGGCACACTAGGTTAATTCATGAAATTGCACTACAAGTACATGGAGCATGCAAAGGCTAACCAAACCAAACCCTAACAGAGGTATGACATGGCAAAACATCACTAAAAACATGCTGAAATGGACTCAAATCAAGCTAGAATGACATGCTACTTCATGAAGCATACATGATTTACACTACAAGTGTATTAAGCATGCATGGAGTGACAAAACCAAGTAAAAATAGTGGTATGCCACAGAAAAATAACCCCAAATACATGCTAAGATATGGCCAACATAAACTTAACAAACATGCTCACACATGAGGCATTCGAGACAAGTATTGAAGACAAAAGGAGAGGGGATGACCCTCTCCCATTTAGGACCTCAAAACACCATCCTCACCACTGAAATTCCTTTGGATTTCAGTAGTGAGAAGGCCAAAACAAGGTGGTCCCAAAAGCTTACAAAGAAGGCACAAAAGCAAGGCCAAACAAGGCCTAAGAGGGGGTAAACAACCCCAAATACAAAAGTGACCTTAAACAAAGATCTTAACCACCAAAATTCAGAACTTTTTGTAGTTAAGAGTTAAGCTTAAAACAGCATGCAAATAGGTTCAAAAGCTTAAGCAAGAATGGGGGTTTAAGAGGTTAGTTTCTCACCCTTAAAGACCACCTTCAAAACCAAAACTCCAGCAGCTTTTTCCAACCAAAACCAGTCCAAAAGCTTCAAAAACAACCTCAAGGGACCTAAGCTCCAAGAGTATGGTGTTTGAGTGTGTGTTTGTGTGTTAAAGTGAGGTAAAACTACACTTTTGAGGCACAAAATGAAGAACAAGAGCAATATAGAGACAAAGCTATGTGTATAACTCAAACCACAAATTTCTGAACCTAGAGGAGGAAGGAGGTGGTTCTCTCTTATAGAGAACCAAAAGCTCAAGCTTCTTGAAGAAGCTAAGGTTCAAGGTCATCCCTTCATACACGTGTATGGAGGATGGTTTCAGTGCCATCCAGCTGTGCCAACTGGAGGAAATCCAAAAAGGTGACAAAAGAAACCGACCACTTGAAGTGGTCGGCCAGCTACCACTTTAAGTGGTCTCCCACAAACAAAACTAGTCGGCCATGGTAAGCGAGGGTCTAGAGCATGAAAACAATGCAAAGGTGTGGTGGCCGACCAAAAAAGATGGCCCAAAGACCAAGGAGACCAGTTGTCAGACCAGAAAACTGGATGGCAAGAAGAAAAGTGGTCTCCAGGGGGGAATACTGGTCTCCCACCCTTGTATTACCTTCCAAATAAGGAAAACAAGGTTTGTACCAAAAACAAACTAAAACGGATGCAAGACGAGAGATTGGGAGGCAAAGCGCGCAGCCGAGAGACTCGAAAACTAGTCCACGAGCACCAAAAATGGTCTACAACCACAAAATTGGTCTCCCGGACCACAGTGTCCCTCTAGGCAGAGGAAACAAGGTGTGGTTCAAAAATCACGTCAAACGGAGAATGTTAAGCAGTCCGGAGACAAGGCGCGTGGCCGAAGGCTCCGAAAACCGGAAACTAGTCTCCAAACGGGAAAAGTGGTCTACGACCGCAAAAAGTGGTCTACGACCACAAAGAGATGGTCTACAAGACGTCTCCCTCCCTCCAGGGAAGAGAAAACAAGGTTCGATTCGCAAACCGAGTCAAAACACAAAGAGTTCAAAGACCCGGAGGCTTTCAGTCGAAACTCCAAAAACTCGAAACGAGCACAACATGCATAATCACCGAGCGCTCAATCGATGACGTCTGAGTCTTAAGGTCAGTCAAAAATGGGTTTTCTACACTTACCAAAGTTGGGTTGTGCTTGAATTTCGGACTGCCCAAAACAGGGGCCACGGCCGCACGTGCGGAAGCACCACCGCACTACGGAGGTCATGGCCGCACGTGCGGAAAAGAGGAAAAAAATAGAAATTGCATTCTACATTTTGCCGCTCGTGCAGGTGGACCACTTCCGCGTGTGCGGAGGGGACTGCTGCACGTGCAGCCCGTGCCGAAAAATGTTGTCTGCTTCGTTTTCCCTATTTGACCCTCTTATATTATTAAAATAATTATTTGATGCTCTTAAAATGTTTGTAAATTCGTTGAAGCGAAATGAATCAAAAAATGATTAAAAGGGAAAATGAACTAATTCTTGAACTATGTGTGTATGTAGGGCACATACCGAAAGCAACTGCCACTCCACCACAGCACTGTGAGTAGTAGTACTGTAGTAGTACGCTTTATTTATCGCTAATAATTACTATTAGCACTTTGTTAATCGCAAATTACCTGTGTTAACTTATATGAACGATTGAAAGAATGTGTGTACCTCTGTATGACTTTGAAACTCTATATGACTCTAAAACTAGTCTGCTCTAATGATATCTGGCCCTATGGCCAATCTGGGAAATCTGTGAGGCCTATGGCCAATCTGGGAAATCTGTTAGGCCTAAGGCCGTTCTGTATATCTCTGGGCTTGAAGCCGCTCTGAATAAAACCTAGGCCTGAGGCCGTTCTGAAAGTATTTACCGAATGAAATTAATCCTATGCCCTCTGCACCTATATGCATTATAATTCAAGTTTATTTAATGATTTGTTTAAGTACTATTATTCACTAAGCTTGGCTCACTACGTGTTATGTTTGTTTCTGTAGACAATCAAACTGGAGGTCAGTCTTAACCCATGACACTTGTTCTCTTTTGTCAACCTCAATGTGCCCAGGCACTTAGAAAAAGCCCGCTCATTTTTGTGGAGTCTTGCTAAGCTTTTGGCTTTGTACTCTAATTGTCTTCCTAAGGTTGAAATGTACATAACCCCTTTCTTCACTAACGTTTTTGTTATACGCCCAATCATGGGGCTGGGTCTGTGTATGTATATGTACGTAACTGGTTCTTAGATGTATGTCATTGTATGTTTATCTACCCAATGCAATGTTTATGATCCTGGCATAGTAGTGATAGCTCAATGGATATTATTTTATGTTATTAAAAGCTTCCGTTCAGGCCCTATATGTTATGCATATTGAATTTAATGTCCGTGTCTGAAGTGATCACGCTCAAACTTTTAGGGGCGGGTTTGGGGTGTGACAAGTGATATCAGAGCACGAGTTGCTATCTCACACACCAATCCATTGAGCCTTAGGATGTCTAGAAAAGACTTAGGCATCATGCATAATATTCTAAACGCATATGGAAAGATTGATGGCAACGTTAAATGTAATCTGCTAATGCCAATGATTATGACCATGTCTATTGTATATTTCTTGTGTATGTTGTAATTGATTGTCATGTAGAATATGGTGAGAACAAGAACGGAAGATTCGGAAGATGCTACTTCTGTACGGTTGGATAGAATGGAAAGAATGATCATGGAAATGGCGGAGACTTTACGACAACAGCAACAGCAGCAACAACCACAACCGCCACCGCCACCGATACCTCCGCCTGTGGTACAAGATTTTCATGCTGAGGACCGAACTACCACACTCACGAGGGAATTTAAGATGATGAATCCGCCATCATTCAAAAGGGAAATAGAGCCAATAAAAGCTAAAGTGTGGGTGTTGGGGATAGAAAATTTGTTCGAAATTTTTCCTTGTACCGAAGCCCAAAAAGTGCAATTGGCTGCCTTCACTCTGGAAGACGAGGCACGGAGGTGGTGGATGCTTACGAGAGCTGTACACCAGGGGTTAACATGGGACAGATTCTTGGAGCTGTTTTACGACAAGTATTTTCCTCAAAGTATGCGAGACAAGAAGGTGACTGAATTTGAGACTCTTAGGCAAGGAAACAAAACTGTCGCGGAATATGAAGCCCAATTTGCAGAACTAGCTCGGTTTGCACCTCATATGGTAGATACGGACTATAAGAAAGCACGAAAATTTGAGGGCGGACTACGGAATGCCATCCTTGACCGAGTCAACATGTTGAAGTTACCCACCTATGTTGATGTGTTGGAAAGAGCTGTTATAGCAGAGGGAAACCTTGCTGCTCAGAATTGGATTTCTGAATGGAAAGGAAAGAGGCAGAACATTCAATCATCAAAGGGGTCAACCACTCCACCTAGCACGAAACAAAATTCGGGGACTTCTAGTACTTCCACTCTTACTCCAAACTCGACTCCTGTTTGTGCAGAATGCAGAAAGAAACACCATGGGACTTGTTATCGGTTGCTTGGAGCATGTTTTCGCTATGGAAAAACGGGTCATTTGGTAAGGGATTTCCCTCAGAGGAATCAACAAAATGGCAATAGGGCTACTACAAGTTCAGCGGGGTCTACACCAACTCCCAACACCAAATCAGCTGCTAAGCATGTTAATAATAAAGACACCGCAAGACAAGGCAGGGTGTTTGCCTTGGTTCCGGGAGATGTGCAAAACGCTGCAACAGTGGTGTCAGGTATATTTGTCGTTCACTGTCATTCTGCTCATGTATTGTTTGATTCTGGCTCTACCCATTCCTTCGTGTCAAAACTATTTTCTCAAAATCTAGATAAATCTGAGGAAGTATTATCTTATATGCTATGTGTGTCCTCACCTTTAGGGGGTTCTATGATCTGTACTTCTGTATATTTTGCTTGTGAACTTCTAATTGGGGATATCCGGGTATATGCTAACTTATTGCCTCTTGACATGACTCACTTCGATATTATTCTGGGTATGGACTGGTTGAGTGAATATGGTGCAACTATTGACTATTTGACCTAAGCAAATCAGCTTCCATCCTCTGGGACACTTAGAATCTACCTTTCAGGGATGTGGAGTGACTTCTCCACCTTATTTGATTTCTGCAACAAAGGCTTGTAAATTAATTCAGAAAGGGTGTCCGGGGTATTTATGCAGTGTTTTGGAAGGGCAAGTGATGAATGGGAGTACTGACATGATTCCAGTTGTCTGTGAATTTCCAAATGTTTTTCGGGAAGAATTACCGGGGGAGTTAGTAGACCGTGAAATCGAGTTTACAATTGAAGTGGCGCCAGGAACTCAACCCATTTTGAAGACTCCGTATAGGATGTCACCAGCTGAAATGAAGGAATTAAAGGTTCAGTTGCAAGATTTACTGGATAAGGGGTTCATTCGCCCGAGTGTCTCTCCATGGGGTGCACCAGTTCTGTTTGTGAAAAAGAAAGACGGAACACTCCGATTATGTATAGATTATAGGGAACTTAATAAAGTGACAATCAAGAATAAGTGCCCATTACCCAGGATCGATGATTTGTTTGACCAGTTACAAGGGGCACAAATCTTTTCGAAAATTAATTTACGGTCTGGATACCACCAATTAAAGGTCAAAGCTGATGATGTTGAGAAGACAGCTTTTCGAACCCAATATGGTCATTACGAATTTCTGGTTATGCCCTTTGGAGTTACTAACACACCAGCAACGTTTATGGATTTGAAACTTTTTGGGGTAAAAAATCAAAAAATAAAATCAGTATAAATATTTCACCTCATATTTTAACCCACTCCGAGTGTTTTCTTTACCCTATTCGCTCCGTCCAGCTTTTTTTTCAGCCATGACAAATTCAGACCGACTTGCTCAAAGTCCTCGATCGAAATGGCAGCCCGATGCAGTGCGTGCTCATTCATGTTAGAGACCCTAATGGTTGACATTGATTCAATGAATGAGGCGAACGATTCAAGTAGAATTGTTTGCAGTTTGGAACCCATAATGGAGAATTTGGTGAAAGTATCGTTGTGAAGGTTGTGGATCCTTTCATGTACCAAGAATGCGTCTGAAGAAACCTTGTATGACAAAAATTGGACTTTGCTATCAAGCGCTGCATCGTTGAAGAGAATATTGTGTCGTTTGATATTGTTTGAGGCTTGGACAGTCGAAGCATGAACACCGGCTCGAATAATTGCAAAAATGTCACCCACTGGGGTTACCTAGCTTAAGCCGCTTGATTTGCTTCCTTATCAACAGGATGAGCCACATCTTGCCGAACTGGTTCGAGGGGGCTAACTTCTCCTTTAGAAATGGCAGTAATGTCTACTTCTACATTTCCTAAGTTATTGCCCTGGGATGGATTTTGAGATGACTCCTCATTCCTTCGTTGAGTTTCTTGCTTTTTAAGTTCAACATGACCAGTCTCCTTTTTTAAGTCATGTGGCTGGCCGGTTAAATCAGCTTCAAATATAGTAGTATCATTCACCAAAAAACCTTTACTGGGATCATGGAGTTCACTATGTGGCATGAAAGAAGTAAAATCCTAATCACTTTCTCGGCTATTGAACTCGTGTTGTGTTTCTGTAGAATGAAAAGCATCGCAATTAGCGCTAGACCAATAATTCTAATACATGACGTCAAGGGCCATAGGTTGGTAGGAATTGATATACCTAACCAAGCTTAGTGAGTCACGAAATATAAATAGGAATAAAATGAGAAACAAAATCAAACACACAAAAATATAAAGATTTATGTGGTTCACCCCAGATTAGGGGGCTACTTCCACAATCATTGTGGCTTCATTATGATCTGAAAAGCATTACAATACAAGACACAGAAGTTTAGGTGTCGTTTAGCAACATTTACATTTTATAGAAAACATTAAATTGTTTGTTTATTTTGAGTAAAAACGACAAAAACAAAAATCACGTTTGGTAATTTTGTTTTGAAAACAAGTGAAATGAGGTTGCTACTATAGGTGGTTGTTGGCCACGAAAGGTAGTCACGGAGATGGTTTTCCACCGGTGAGAGGCGGTTAGCAGTGGTCGGAGGTGGTTGCTGAGGAGATATAGTGACTGAAACTGATTGTCAATGGTTGGAAATGGTGGCTAGTTGGCTGCCTAAGATAGTAGTTGAAAGTAATTTTCAAGAAAATGTGGTGGCCGGAGGTGGTTACCATCGGTTGGAGGTGGTTGGTGGAGGAGGCTATTGGTGATGGTAGTCAGTAGTGATGATGAGCAATGAGTGGTAATCGAAAAGAGTGGAAAAAAGAAGAAATGAAAAATAAAAATAAATTATATACAAAAAAAAGAGAAACTGACTTTTTTGTGTTCATAAACTGTTTATAACTTTTTAAAAACCAAAACCATACGAGTTTTTGTTTACAGTTTTCAAAAATTTTATAGATATAAATATAAACATTACCAAACACGCCTAATATACAAGTTTGCATGAAATCTCATCAGTTTAACACCCTCAATGTGCAATGCATGATCGATTAAAGTTGCATTCTAAACAACTTTTCATGTATTTTGTTCAATCAATAACTTATGTTTCCAACAGCACCCTTAAGGGAATGGCAAGAGCAACGATCTTGTGATTGTAATGCAGTGAATTATGTTTAAAAGAACATACTTCAAACTTTCAAGTTTCCAAAGGCACATAAATAAATATGGACTTAAACATCCCAATGCCAAATATATAGTGTCTCCTCACCAAATTTGCCCCAGTCCAAGACCCATTCCTAGAGAGAGAGAGATGTCATCTAGTGAAAACAATGTAGTTGCATCATTGACAAAATTATATTTCATTGAACTAACTAATACACTCCAAAAACAAATATACAATGCCCCTCCCCTCCCATCCTAAAATAGTTTCCCATACCCAACTTCTCCAATAATAAATAAATAAATAAAATAGGGCAATTCAATGCACAAGGCCCCACAAAAGTAGAGACCACAATTCAATGCATCATTTGAAAGTCAATTTCTCTTCAGTAAAAACCATACTGGCCCAAATTGTAGTCAAAAAATTAAGCATAAAGCTACTAAAGCAATGGCTTTAAGCCCCAATCACAAAGAAGGGCCATATTTTATACACAGTCTTATTTTGTTAGTCCATGGTCCAAAATGTTAGTCCTATCCTATCAAGTAAAAAAGTGTGTAATTTTTCAAAATTATCCCTTGTAAGTGAACTATAAATATATTTTAAAATGAGAGTAAAAAGTTTTTGTTAGAATTAGTGTTTTTAAATTTGATTTAAGTGCAATAATTTCATGTTACCTTAGAAGTTACAAGTCTAAAAGGGCCTCACAAAATGGGAAACAGAGGGAGTACATTATTAGCCAAGGCATGGGACCAAAAAATGTAATAAACCCTAGAAGATATATATAAACTTAAAAACATTTAAGTTGCATCTGTTTGGTAATTGAGAGAGAAAATAAAATAAATAATTATCTAAGTTATGAGTAAAAAAGAAAAGAAAAGAAAAGAAAATAAAATAAAAAATTGATTGTGATTTTTCTCTCTCAATAAGCGAGAAAAGAAAAAAAATTAATTTCTCTCCTATCTTATTTGATTAAATTTTTATGGATTGATTGAGTTATATAAAATAAAATTACCAAATTAACATTTTATAATAGTTCGTCTTTTTATTTCTCCTATATCCAAAAGGATATTTTTGTTTTGATAACTCAAAATATAAACACTTTATTGACTTTTTTGGATAACATCACCTCTTTATGTGCACATTTTTTCATAATAAACAGAAAAATCCTCCTATTGTGTATGTGCACCCCTATCATATGTAACTTTAAATTAGCGTATCAAAAATATCATAATCAAGTCACAAACGTTTACAACATCAACCACAAAATTATGGACATTTTGTTACGTCAATTTGTGATGAGATTACGCATTTTATAATTAATGTTACAACATTTTGTGACAAAGTTAGAATGATATAGAGACCAAACAAGTGATATCTCCAAATCCAAACAGGCTTGTATACATATTGTTACCCAAAAGACAACCTAAGAGGGGAGGTGAATTAGGTTTTTATAATTAAAATTAATAATACCCTAATAAAAATTATGACTAACACAATAGATAAATATAATTAATGAAATAAAAATAATTAAAACAAGTATGTTAACAACTATGTCAGTTAATGATTTTAGCACAGTAAAATGTGAAACATAGTGATGGCAATTTAAAATAAAATAAAGAGATAAGGGAGAGAGAAGCAAACAAATTTATAGTGGTTCGGCTTCAACTCGGCCTACGTCTACTCCTCAAGCTTCACTTGAGATTTTCCACTATCTTCTAACTTCACAGGGGTGCTAGCAATCTCTTTACAAATGGAGCAATCCTCCACGGATTTTACACAGACTTTACAAGTCCAAACGCTTGCAAATCTTAGGTGATTCACAATCACTCTCAAGATTTCAAGAACACAGTGTTTGCAGCACTTTTACAAGATGAAATGGTATTTTTGCTTTCAAAGAAAGCTTACAATAAATATCTCTCAAAGATAGATATATAAAATGAAGTTTTGATTTTTCTGTAAATCTCACACAGGAAAGAGGACTTAAAGCTATAAGGCTCAGTGTATGATTTCTGAGAATAGCTGTGAGTGATTATAGATCAAAGAATATTTTTAGGTTTTTTGTAACTTGTTTACATTAGAGGCTTTGGTATATATAATGAAAATTATAGTCGTTTATAGCCGTTGTATTCATTTGAATTTATAGCCGTTTATAGTCGTTGTAGTCATTTGAATTTATAGCCGTTGTACTTCCATCATTACCAATTTGAATATCTTCTACTCAATTATTATAAATTTGAGTATCTTCCACTTGAACCTTTTGAACCTTTTGAACCTTTATAGCCGTTGTACTTCCATCATTACTAATTTGAATATCTTCCACTTGAACCTTTTGAACCTTTTGGCTTGCTGCTATGCTAGGCTGTTTGAACCTTTGTTTTGGACTGTTTAAACTCCTGATTTAATTAAATATTAAATACATTTTAACAACACT